ATTGTTTTCGTATTAGCAGCTGTAATATTTTGCTTACCTGCTTCCAGTTCATTGTTGCTATGATTCCTGTGTTTTCAGAACCAAATTATGGGTTCATTACACTAGTAATTTCATTTTCCCCTTTCACTGTTTTATACTGTATTAGCTCAAGTTGTAATATTAAGCCTAGCTCGTAGTCTTTGTTGAATTCATGCCTGGTGTAGCAATCACTATTTTTGATAGTTTCTGTCACACAATTTCCTGTTTTCAAGTACTTTGTTTGTTTCCTTTCTTTTACTGAATTATTTCTGTCTGCAGGTTATCCTTTAGTGTTGAGTACTTTCTCCTAATTCATTTTAATCTTGTTACATCATTTAGCTCATTGGAGCTTTGTTTTCTTATTTATTGTTTAGTGTCACTCGTTCCCGTTTTTTTATTGTTCCGTTGCATTTATTTGCTGTGTAATAAACTTGTAAATCTTTCCTCGCATCTTTTGCTCTTACGTCGACCGTTTTGGCCGTCTTACACACTGAAACAATGTTGTGCCTAGACTTCCTAATTCTATGGCTGTCCCTATGTTCTTTAACAATGTTAAGGTCATTTTGGAGTGTTGATGCATAGCAATACCAGTGACATTCTATCCTTGATTCAGAGGAAGAGTCTAAAACACCTTCAGATTCCAAATCTTTGAAATAATTTCACCACCACCCATGTTGACCTGTTTCGAGAATAAAATGACCACCAACCTTTTATTCGTTGGTTTCTTGGAGGAGGCACATGATGAGCATCAGTATTGTCTCAGAAATAACATTGCACTGATGCTGAGAAACCATTGTCAGTTCCTAGATCTGTAATCAATCATACTGGACATCCTTCCAGTTCCTTTACAGTTTTCAAGAGGTATATTTCAACATTGTCTGGTGAGTTGTTGGAGCGGGACACCTCAAGCCATAAAATTTTTCTGCTAAATCAATCAATGGCCCCATGTATGGGAAACCCATAGGGCTTCAGTTTATCATACCCATCCATGTGCCAAGAATCATTGGTTGTAATATGACCTCTAAGCGGTGAGTTTTCCTTAACTGTGTACCTTCTGGTTCTAACTCTTTTAACATATCCTAAACTATTGTAAGTGGAACCTGCAAGCCCTCCATCTCCAAAGTGCGTCAAATTGTCCTGTATCTCACAGGTGATCCAGGACCATTAATAATCTCACTGACACGTTGTCTCACAATTTGTGCTGTATTTGAGTTATCCTTGGTAAAGGAAACCCCTTCTGCCTAGTCCCTATTCTTTCAATCGCCTTAAAGGTGTGCTGTAACTTATTTCATGTTTGTGGTGTGTAGCAAGTAAAAGAATAATTTCTTCATAACTAAATTCACATTGGAAGTAATATTTGATAATGGTCTCTTCATCAACCTCTACTTCACTGCTAGATCCTTCACTGCTTGAATTTACAATAATTGAATCTGTATTTGCATTCAAGTCTACAAGGTCAAAAATCATGAAAAAGTTATTAACAGATGTAGAATTCAGAAATTCTTCATAACATTTTGATGAAGAAGCAGCTAGGTGTTAGGCCTTGGGGGATTCCCTGGTTCCTGCCATATTTGTTTTAGCTTACATTGTAGTACTGAGTACATAGTGTTGAGATAACTCTAACGATAGTTATTTGTATTAAAGCAAGTAGGTGTTCCGGTACAAACGAACCGATACAAAAGACCAAAGAATACACCACAGCTATAAATGACTCCAATTAAAACAATTAAATGAAAGCAACCCATGATGTGTATTTATTAATTTATTGATGCATTACTTCGACAAATGATAAGAAATGAAAAAACTTACCTCTATCACAACTGGAGCAAAAATTGTCTTCCTCCCTTGAACGATTTTCACAGTTTGAGCAAAACATGACTGGAAGAAGACCAAAG